AAAATAAATTAAATAAAAAAACCCCGAAAGAATAACTCTTCTTATAAAGTTTTTAAAAAAAAAAAAAAAAAAAAAAAAGAAAAAAAAAGGAGAATAAAATAAAGCAAATGAAAGTTATGGAGTTATTATTTATCATGCAATTCATTGATTTATTGTGACAACCCTAAGCCAAATGGCCAATTCTTTTTTGATATAAAAACAAAGAAAATAAACATTCAAGTTGCAATATAGGCTTTAGCAGCTCTTTCGCTGTTTGGGTCTAAAAAGACTAAAAGGAAAACAGTATGAAAGAGATACAAATGAAGAAAGAGGAGACAGAGAAAACTAGCAGAAGGACTTTAGATATAAGAACGAACAAGCTGGGATATGCAGGCAGAATGCAATTCTGCTGAAAGAGGCAGGAATACAGTTAGCAAAGAAACCGTGTTGAATGCATTTTTACTTCAATGCAGACTTTCGTATTGAATAGTTAACATTTATATTTCTTGGCCTCAAAAAGAGAGGGATTGTCTGTTAATGAAACTAACTAAAGAAGCGTGAACAGCTCTAGAATGTCCTGGTAGATCAGTGCACTGACCCAGTGGACCAGAACCAGTTGATGACATGGCTTCCCACATCATCACTGGAGTTCAGTCAACTCATCCTCTGCGATCAAGAAGGATTTGGACTCTGAGCTCTTATTTTTGAACCGTTACAACAACAGTTAGAACATTTTCGTGTTGTATTGTCACTTCAACACAAACAGCGACGGAGCCTCAGCGTACCTTCCAGTTTTGCGTACTCTGACAGGCGTTGGTAGTTGACTATGGCAGCCTGTTCCAGACATTTCCTGATCACAGCTTTGACGTCTTCTTGTGGGACTGGTGTCACAACATCTTTCATCAGAACCTTCCCAAAATAAAGATTACAACATAGTTACATGTGTCAAAAAAATGTTTCTCATAAATACAAAGCAAATGCATGTTAATAAAGTTGAATTACAAAAGTAATGCTCTTTAAAGTAATGACATTCTCCCCTGCTAAGAAAGTTTGACTGCATTAGAGGGTTTCCATCTGGTTATTTATTCATTTTTTCTATTCTGATCCAAATATGTACAATAATAGTGGTCCATCCTACACACAGAACCACAAAACTATCCCCACGTGAGTCTAAAACAAGTTATAGTTGCAGGTGAGATTATGGTTCTTTGAGTCAAAATATAGTGAAGTGGTTCAAATAAACAGCAGTGGTGTTGTCTTGATTTATTTAGCTTATAAATCTAACATTTTATGCTGGTCAGCAGTATGAATGGGAAATTCTGAACACAGAAAATATGTTCTGATAAAAATATAAAACAATTCAACGGATGATCATTTTTGAAGTTTCTGTCTGTCTGTATAGCTCTAGTCTTCCAGAAAGAAAAAATATTTTACTCTCAACATTCTTTCAGCTTTTAGCAGCTCAACTCTTTCCATGATGTGGAATGTTCCAGAACTCTGTATATAGACAACCAAAGACACTCCAGAACTGGGAAAACTAAGGAAAAAGCTAGAATTTCTAGAAGAGTCAGAAACGAGCACAATAAAACTATTAGAGCAACATGGCCAAAATATACAAACAATTAGAGAACAGAGAAGCTATATATATATATATATATATATATATATATATATATATATATATATATATATATATATATATATATATATGTCTTACCAAAAATGTTAGTGATTATAAAATATGACGTACCCGTTCAAGCAAGGACAGAGTTGCTTTCAGTGCTCCCTCTGGTCGTCCAAATGGAAAACAGTATCTAACAAAAGAATGAGTTACTTTTTTAATCATTATTATTTTCAAAATCTCAAATATTCTCAACGTTTTCAAAGTCTTGACATGTTGTCTTTGATCCGATTTTTACCTGAAATGTGTAATCTGGTTCTCCAGAAGCACTCGTAGTCTCTCTTTGATTTCTTCAAAACGCTCCTTTTCCTCCACAGTCACCGTGCCGATCCCATCGGGTCTGAAAGACGATTACAACGAGAACGACAACGAGTAGACCACAGAGAGTACCGACAAGGCTTAAACCTAATGTACCGCACAAGAAAGGAAGCATGAATATAACAGCTCAGGCTTCAAGAAAATATCCATTCATCTGCCACTAACAGAATGTAGATAGTCTAAAGATGTCTAAAGACCAGAAAAGCAGGAGAATCTACCAAACAAGCACAGGGAAACCATTCAGAAAAAAAAAAAAGAGAAACAGTTGAATTGATTTCTTTTTGTAACTTGACAGTCAAAGCAGAGGAAAGGTGAGAACATTTGAGAGTGACAGGAAAAGCAAAGTGTCACAGGATCAGCAGTAATTTGGTCTGACTCCAACTAGCATGTGGATGGCGTGAGACCAGAGGGGGAGGCTCATGCTGAGCTGCTTCAACAATGTGGAGCAGCATGTGAGGAGTTCCGACACATTACGTTAGATGATTGGTTATGTTATGTTCTTCTCAGATGCTCTATGCAAATGCAGCATTGGAAAGGGAGGTGTGTGTGGGAGGGGCGATGGCTTTCTGAAATGTTAACAATAAAAAGGAAAATCCAAGAGGAAAAAATCTGTGATAGGCTGATTGTTTAGTTTTAATTACTGAGGCCACTGCTGGTGTTTGCTAAGTTTCTTTCGTAATTGGACTTCAGCTGAGATTGACCAAACACTTTTTCTATGAGAAGGTAATCCACAGGAAATAAAGTCTGGATCTTATAATGGATGACCTGTGGTATAAAATTACTTTATTCTTCTCTGCCTATGAGTGGCTGCAGAAAACAATCTTTACTATTAAAACAGACAGTTTTAAAGACACAGTAAAACTGAGTCTTTTTCTTTTGACTAAAATAAAAGTTCCTAGATATTATCAAGATATAAACATCTGTCCACAAAAACATCCCCGCTCAGCCGTCTGGCATATAGTGTGTGAAGGTATGCACTTCAAAAACACAACATCTTAGCAAGTAGCTTTTGTCTAATTTTTAGTACAAATATCTTAGTACACTTAAAATAATAAAAACTAACTTAGAAGTACATTTTCAGCAAAGTACAACAGCTTGTTTTAAGTCAATAATTCATTAATATCCATTAGAAAGTGCTAGTTGCTTGGCAGATTATTTCACTTACAACAAGACATTTTTCAACATGTTAAAAGTGACATAATCTGACAGTGGAACTAGAATATTATTTTTATCAATACTAAGAAATAATTAACTTAAAATATGCTCCTATAGCTCACTGAAAAGTTTCTGGCAAGATAGTGTTTTGTACCAAAATATTTGCACTAGACAGTACTTGGTAAGATTTAGTGTTTTGCAGCGTACACACGTCTGTGAAACATTGTGTTCTGAATGGTATTCTTCTCATTTATGATTTTTTTAACACAGATCAGTTGGCGCAACATAATCTAAAGTTTCCACAAGTCTTCTAGCATGTTTATCGTTTGTGACACGGTTGTGTCTGAGTGGGCTGTGAGCAGAGTGCATGTGACAGAGCAGGCGTCGGACTGTTGGCAATGACAGTATGATGAGAAGCAGAGGACATGACACCCCCCTTCCCTCACATGTCATTTCAGTGGACAACGAGGAAGTATCTGCTGCGAGGGAGCTGCATTAAGACTCGGAGAGGTGCCACTTTTTGGTCCGCTCCTTAAAATCTTCCAGATCGTTAGGTCCGCTCGTTTTCAACACCGGGCTTTGTTTAGAGTCTGAGAATAATGTTGGTTCAATATGAAAGGGGATTAAAAAAATAAAATAAAAAAAAACGAGTGGACGTTATTAGCAAAATAAAAATGTCTCCAGGATCAGGATGAAAATAAATAAATAAATAAATAAAAATCATCTTTCTTGTCACTATAAAAGACAGGAGAAGGAGATTTCACACTAATTAAACTCCTGCAGGGCTCTGGTTTTCTTCCCCCTCGTGTTCTGTCTGACCTGTTGACCTCACTGCTCAAACGATGACAGCGAGAAAGTGAGCCATCAGTGGTAAAGATAAAGCTAGCATTTTACTGCTCTGCAGGCAACATCATGTTTTATCATCATGCTGTTGTCATAGCAACCTTGCAGATCTCTCAGGTCTTCTGGTTCTGGTTCTGTTCTGCATTCCCTAGAACCAGAACCAAACATGGAGAAGCAGCATTCAGCTTCTATGCAACACAAATCTGGAACAAGCTTCCGAAAAACTGCAAAACATCCGAAACACTGAGTTCCTTTACATTTAAACTAAAAGCTCACCTGTTAAGAGTTGCTTTTGAAACATAATAAATGAAACACTGACCAACATTCTGATGTTTAACGATGTTCTATGACTTTGTATTTTTGTGTATTTATGATGTAAAGCACATGTGTCAAACTCAAGGCCCAGGGGCCAAATCCGGCCCAACATTGCTCTTTATGTGGCCCTCTAGTCTCTAAAGGCACACATAAATGGAACTATCGAGATAACATTGTGCCTAAATATTATTTTATCAATCAATACAAAGCAGTTTTTATCTTTTTACTGCCAAATTGCATCAAACAGTCCCTCCACTTTCTTGCGAAATATTGTGGAAATTCACGCCAAATCAACAACTGAGTGCATTTATTTCTGCGCTAGTCCATAATTGTGAGTTCATTGCCAATTTCTTGCAAAAATTGTGAAAAACATTGGATGTAAGTGACGGTTTACTCCCACCTGCATTTGGCAGTATTTCTTACTTAATGTCAAGTTGTAATCCATAATGATAAGGCGAGTAAACTCGTCTTACCATAAAACTCGAATTTACCACAAATATTTCTAAATTACTACCGCAAACACTTTTTAACTGCAAAAAAATCACAAATCCTGGAGTGAATGAAAAACTTAAGAATTTATTTATATTTTACCTTTCAAACATGTTTTATCATTACATTCTGGCATAACTGGCCCTTTAAGAACATTCAAGATCTTGCTTCGGCACAAAATGAATACGAGTTTCACAGCCCTGATGTAACTCACTTCGAACTGCCTTGTTGCTGAAATGAACTTTACAAATAAATTTAACTGGTTGACAATTGATTATCCATCCATCTACCCATTTATACTTAATGTAAAGGATGTGAGTATTATGACGTTACCTACATAATTGTTGATTTCGAATTCATACGCCACATACTGAAGTCCACTTCTACATGCGTCAAGCAGAGACCTGCTCTGCCAAGTCCAGCGACGGTGCCTGGAGGTCGGGACGTGACAGGTTGACAGGCTGTCATGTGTGACGGCCCAGTATCCCAGCTGCCAGCGCTGCTATGTGTGCTACTGAGCACACATAGCATTTCACCACCACTACTCATTCACCCGAGCCTGGAGGTGCTGGCACACACCGAGATGAACTCGGCCGGCCCCCTGGCCCCGCTAAAGTGTCAGGATTTGACTTTTGTCCAGCTGAATATCGATTCTATTTAGATACGCCACTTAGCTCCGAAGTTTCCCCAAATGGAGCGCAGCAGAAGAATTGGGTTTGAGTTGAAAATGTCATCCCTGTTTTACGTCTTTAACGTAAAACAGGGAAGTTCTATGGGTTTAATGTAAAACGCCCTTGTATTTATGGTGTATTTATGTTTCTATTTATTTATCTTTATTAATTAAAGATAAATAAATAAAAGTAGACATTAAAGACTATTTATGTCTTTAATGTCAAAACATCAATAGGTTTGCGAACAAATCAGGACGAGGGCGATAGACTATCTAATCCAGCAACTGTGAGGTAGAAAAAACATTTTAAAAACAGTACTAGGATGGTTGTTGATGTTTTTTCCAAAAGAAAAAAATAAATCTGAAGTGTCGCATTCATAACTATTTAACCCTTTCAGTTTAACACCCCCAAAATGAAACCCGGTGGAAGTCATTACTGTCAGAAGAAACTGAAGGAGCTGAACACAAATGCAAGCTGCACTTTTCAGATATTTGTGAAAGAGAGAGAGAGAAGAAAGAAAAGAAAAGAAAAAAACTGCATATTTCCGATTCATAATATGTGCTTTTCTATCTTATAATCAAAAACAAAATACATTAAAGTTCCGACTATAATCTGAAAGAAGTTCTAGGGGTGTGAATACATTTTGCCAGACATGTTTACCTCTTCCCATTTGTTTGAGCTTGAACTGGTTAATATTTATTCCTCTCAAATTTGAATTTTTACATTTGCCTTGTATGCCATCTATGTTAATCTACAGCAACAAAACAACATTTGGGACTTGACTCCGGTTATGTAAAGTAGCCTCTGCATGATGAAGCCACTTACCTTCCAGGTCCTGAGAGAACCGCGGCTCTGAAGTCCTTTTTCTTTATGAACTCCATAATTTTGAGCTCTCTTTTTACAGTTTGAGTGGGGGCGTCGGGGGCGGAGGGGGTGGAGGGGATCAGAGCGTGTTCGAGTTCGGCCTGACATATCGGCCGGTTTATTAATTCAGACACACGTTGACTAAGTGCGGTTAAGAGGAAGCGGTTAAGGGTTCAGGGTACGGTGAAAGGGAAGTCATTTTGTAAATGTGGTGGGAGAGAAGAGACAAGATAAAGCACAGAGGTGAGCATGCAGGCAAAACAGAACAACAAAATGTAAAAAACAAAGACTTAAAAATAGAAATATGAAAGCAGATGCAAGAAATGACATAATATGCATATAAAGTTGTGTTCAAAATAGGAACGGTGTATTTTATCCATTCATCCATCCATCCATTTTCTTTACACCCTAGTGGGGTCGGGAGGGTTGCTGGTGCCTATCTCCAGCTAACGTTCCGGGAGAGAGGCGAGGTCACCCTGGACAGGTCGCCAGTCTGTCGCGGACGGTGTATTTTAAAAAGAACCGAAACTCAAAACCCTCATTAAATTTCATTACAATCAACAATACTAGCAATTTTTCTAATAAAAAAAAAATCAAATTTGTTCTCGTGATTTTGAACAGAAATCATGAGATTGTTTAATAAAGCATTCAGTTGTTAAAGAAACAACCAGAGCTCTGCTGTGGAAGCTTTTCAGTCCGACTTTTTACTCCAGATTTTTTGGGATGTGGTCAAGCGCTTTTTTTTTTTTTTTTTTTAAAGATACCACTAGGATAATTCATTTTTCCAGAATCAATTTGTAGCACTAGAGGGAAAAAAAAAAACCCACCTGCAGGCAGTTTGATCTTTACCTGTTTCCATGTACGTGGGAGGCACAGAAAGCATAGCTGTAGTGAAGCAGCGTGGGGTCAATCATGGCTCCATTCTCGGCCCTCTCCAGCAGATCACTAAGGTAACATAAGTGCCGATGGCAGCCTCTGACTCCATAGCGGGCACAATATTCATCCAAGACAAACACCTGGCCGGGACTGAACCAACCCTGTGGGGAAACACACACACCACGCACATGCACACACACACCCACACACACACACACACAGCACTTCTTTATGACCTCTGGAGGGGCAAGTGGGCCTGAAAATGTCCAAGCTAAGCTGCTGCTTTTAGGAGACCACTTACTACATGTGATGATATTCCACTGAAATGTAAAAAATTAACCTTCTTAACTGAAAACATTTTTTTGTTTTGTTTTCAGTTTAGAAGGTATGGATAGTCGTCTTTTTTTTTACATCACCTTAATACTTCCATTTTGGCATGAATGTTTTGAAACATGAGAAGTAAATCATGAATTTAATTGAATTATTAATGTCTCATCTCCCCGCCCCACACACACATGCACACACACATACGATTTCTCTTTAATCTATTCCAATCTATTGTCCTGACAGGCTGAGGTTCAATCTTAAACTTTAATAATGAGACCTGATTTACCCCGTCCTACTTTGGTTTACTACCTTTTTTTTGCCCATTCAACAGAATCCAAAAGCCTGAAAAACAGTTTTCCTTACCAGACAGGAATAGGAGTCATTTAGTCTGTGGTCCAAGGTGAGGCGTTGCACTAACTCAAACAGGGAGGCGTGGTCAAAGTTACACGGGTTGGCCGAGATGAACTCATCCATGCCGTGCTTTTGGGCCCGGTCAGCGTCTGAGTGCGATTTCACAACGAAACCGTCGGATGAGCAAATTGACAGGAAGAAAGAAACAGGAAGAGATGACAAATGTCAGAAGCTGGCAAAATAAAGCATCTAGATTATCATGCTTCAACACAATCATCAATGACGTCGGGAACCATAGTTTTATAAATAGATCAAAAATAACAATAAAAGCTGTTTTCGCATTTATTGTAAAAACTCTGTTTTATTACACTGGGTGAAATAGAACTGTACCGACTGCAGCCGATCTTTATAAAAAACCTGACCTGCTGATTCCAGTTTTGACTGATAATTCTTTTTGTCTGAAATGTCGCTAAATGGAGCAAGGAAGTTGCAGAGTTGGCAACAGTGGAGTGACTATTGTTAACTCAAACTAGCAGACATGACCTGGTGGGTTGGGCTAACAGTCAAACCTCTCAGGGGAGAGCAGAAGAGGACAGCAGTTGATTTTTAGACCTTTGCTGAGGTAGATGAGATCGGAGGATAAGATTGGCTTCACATGTAAGTATCAGCCGATCACCGATCTCCCGAAATTAAGGAAATCGGCACCAATAAATTGGCTGGCCAATAAATTTGTGCACCCGTGGAGTAAAAGCTTTTGTAACTATGAAGGACTAATCAGGGCTATCAGTTCTAAAGATTTATTTTCTGACTCATCTTAAGTGAAACGGACCAAAGTTATCCTCATCTAGCTTTACTTTTCATATCAAACACAGTCTCAGTATTAACCTGGATCGCTCAGACGACGTCTTAACGTTTCAATCATTTATGCGACCCATATTGATTCTACTGTAGGTTTCCTATGAGTATCACTAGTTTGGACAAATCAGGCAGAAAGACATTCAGGATTTCAGGAGGAAACTGTCATTTTTGAAATCCCCACATATTCAGTTTCAATGCAAAACGAAGGTTCTGACTTCACATTGGACAAATCCTCTGCATCAGCGGAACACATTCCAAGTGCTGGACGCAGGCGGCGGGTGGGAGGGGACCACAGCTGCTGCCGCTGTGCTGCTGGCATGCTGCTTCACTGCATGGCTGATGTCAACAATGCACAAGTCCGCAAGACCGAGAAGACCGGACCTGTGAGGACCTGAAGGATTACAGGCACTGACAGCCGGCTGTGCAACAACAGCTTACTAAAACTGGACTTTTCATTCCAGAGCAGAGTGGGTTTGTACAGACAATGTGGGCCTGGATACATTCATATCACCTGAAAACAACTCTAAAACAATCTGAAATTTTAAAACATTTGTTTTCTTCATTTTAAAATCGTCACATCATTTGCTTTTGTCTTTTGTCCCAGACAGTTAATACTCTGTTCTGACACATTGCAGTAAATGTTCCAGATGGATCAACGCAGAAGATCCACCACATGCAAATATAGCAGCGGTTCCAAGTCCTATGAAAATGTTGTTTGTCTAAACTGCTGGGATATTATTTCAGACTCAACTTGTTTGAAACAGTGAAAATTAGTGTAAAATACATTTTGCTTTATTTTTTATTTTATTTTGGTTTCGAACATGATAGAAGTATAGAACCACATACATGAACAAGGAGAGAAAAATACATATTTTTTGCTTCACAATAATCTTAACATGCTCGAATAGCAGAAAGAAGAAGTAAGAAACTTAAGAACTCCTACCCCGTAAATTCATACAATATTTTCAGATGGACCCTCATTATTAAATAAATAAATAAATAAACATAGGTTAATTAATTTTCCATTTTATAAGGGTTTACATATACCTAAATATATGCATCCATACCCCCCCCACACACATACACATTAGCCTCAATTTACATATACACATTTGTAATATCTCTCTATATCTTGTGAAAATGACCTCCTGATATTTCCTTTTCCTTCTTTAAAATAAACCTAATAAAAGTGGCAGGAAACTAAGTGCACATGATCTCTCAACAGAACCTTAATTAAAGACATCCAAGCTTATCCTTAAAGACATACCATAATCAGAAGAACACCAAAAGGATCATGTTGATAATATTGAAGAGTAATAGAGCTGCATAAAGCCCAATTCAATTATTATCCAATTATTTATATAGAGTCAATCCACAACACTCCTTTGCATTGAATTAAAACAAAAACAGAAAAGTCAATTCAGTCTAATCCTATAGATTGACTTACAGTCAAATCTTTTTTTTTTACCCCAATTGATCCTGATTACCAAACAACAGTCAGGATCAGTTCATTATTCAAATCCGCTGGACTCTATTAAGCTTTTTTTATATTGTCATCAGGGCTCTGTTGGATACTTCCCTGTTTGTCCAAAGCGACGGTGACAAAGCCAGAAAGTTTTAGTTGGTGGACCCTGTTTAAATTTAGTCCTGAACGGATAGCGGACACAGGCTCTCCCCCATCAGTCGACGCACACCGAGGGTCGATGTGAGCAGAGGTTATACTTAGCTACACGGCAATAGGAGATTTGTCAGCCAACGTCCTCTTCACTGCTTATCGAAAACACCCCAGCTGTCAGTCAACAAGCAAAACAATGAGCTGGAAGCTGATTTTGTCCCCTAAACAAGTCGCTGCACCCCACCCCGTTACCCTCCCCGCCCCCCTAAAAATCAAAAAAGGTGACATTGTGGTGCCCCTTTGGTTTGTAGCTGGTGGGCTGTCAGGTCTATTTGATGTGAGTGAGCGGGAGTGGAGGCGGGAGGGCTGGACAGTAACATGCAGTGACATTAGTCACCCCCGTCCGTCTGGGCTGGAGAAGGATGGCCCTGGCAATGATTGATTGGTGATATTCATTTATAGATCCGACTAAGACAAACTGAGGGGCTGTGTCCCGGACTTGGCTTTGGTCAATCACAAACATTCTGTGCTATTTAAAGTCTGGCTTGCTTTTTTTCTTTTTTTTTTTTTCTTTTGATGGACCACTCAAATCACGGAAAAGTAAAAGAAATCTCAGGTTGTTCAGTTATGACAGTAGAAAAGGTTAGTCTAAATGGTCAAAATGAATCTGGTTAATGTTCCACAAGCTTCTCACAAAACCTCCAACAACTTCATGGTCCATTAGCGGAAAGTGTGAACAGACGTTCTGGTTTCTGCTTAGATTCCTTCAAAAACGGCTCAAAGGTCTAGCAGATGTTTACTAAGACTGAAAGCTTCACCGTCTGACCGGTGCAACACCGCCTGAATCCTCATCAGTGGACGTTTCAACATGGATGGATTTGATGTTGTTCAGTCCGGTTTCGGTGCTCAGACTACAGACTGAACATTCAGAGACACAGAGAGGCAGTTACAAAGCCAGCCTTCTGGTCTGTCCTCCACCTGAAGAACATTTCTGGGGTTAAAGGATTAATGTCCCAGCAAGATTCAGAGAAACATAGATCGACAGATTAATTCTGGTCCGGATTGTAATTCCATTACTTCTCTTTACTTTGCCACTTCAAAGTAATGTTTTTGTTTGTCTGTTTATTCTGTTATATTTATGTCATGTAAAGCATTTTGAGCTGCCTTGTTGTTGAAATGTGCAGTATAAACTGAATGACTGGACAATATTCCCTGGTCAATCATACAGCGAGATTATAGTCTGTCAGCAATAACACTATAAACAATAAATGTTTATGACATTCAGATTTTACTCTTGTTACCCAATGTATTCATACTGAGTGACATCTATCTATACATTCTGAAAGTAAATGTTGGATTTTTATTACTCAACATTTCGAAAGCCAACAAAATGTGATTATTTCCATGGTCTTTACATAAATCAGTGAAACACTGCAGCAAAACAACTACTTTCCTTATTGTCATAAAAGCTACAGTACAGCTGTAATCTTCTTCTGAAGTGTCAAAGCAAAACTGTCAATGTAGGAAACGGAAACTGTAAAGCTCAATTTCACATGTGCACAGCGAAGCTTTCAGAGTTTTCTTTGTTGTTGCAATGTTTTAGTGTTTGGTGGGGAAGTCGGCGGCCGGGTGTCAGAGGCGACGCAATCTTATATTATTGCACTGATGCATGTGCGAACTGACACGCAGTTATTTGGTAACATTGAGCGAATGCTGCCCAATTTAATTGTGTGGCAGCCACACTGTATTATTCATGACCTGGCACTTTTAACTTAGTAATTACCAGCTGCTGGGTCTCAGTGGGACTCCAGGGGTTGTGTCAAAAACAGCTCTCTCAATAAATTCACTTATGCAAATGCAGGAGTATTTCTTCATAAGCCGACCTGCTTTTATTTCTCTTTTATGTGTATACTCTTTGGACCATTACGAAAAAAAATTTAAAACATCCCCTCTGGCCCCCCTCATCACTGTTCCATGTGTAACATTTGCTGAATCCCGTTTCCTGTTTGACATTGATGAAGTATCTACCACACGGCACAAACAAGTACCAATAAAAAGGTGAGAACAGAGCCAAATAAAGCCATATTTGCTCTGACTCAACGCGGAATGTTTTTAACTCAAAAAAAAAAAAAAAAACTTACAGAACTGGGATATGGGCGCATCGAGTTGCGGGGCAGTGCCGCTCCTGGAATTCAGCTTCTGGACCTGGGTGGGGGGCACCGGCTTGTGGGACTGGCCGGTGGCCCTGTACATGGCCTGCACCCATAAGATGCGGTCCTGCTCGTCGTCGCTGGCAAATATCACAGTGTCGCCCTCTTTCACAGCGTTGAAGAACGTCCGGCCGCCTTCCAGACCTGAAACATGGCCAGAGGCACTCAGAAGGTGGCAGCAACGTTATTCGTATAACAGTTGGTTTTGTCACTGCAAAAACTAAGCATGGGTATGTGTTATACAAACCTGAAATAAGACTGGTAAAGGTCATATTTAGGTCTGTCAAGAAAAGAAATTTTGCCGGACGATACATTGTTCCAGACATTATTGCGATAAATGATAATGATGTTTTGAGACCATTGTCAAATAATATCAGAGTACATGATAATAATGCAGGAACACATTGTCAAAGATCAATAAACTGTAAACTCTAATGAACATTTAACAACTGGAAAACATTTTAAATATCCATAATAAATAAACAAAACAACAGAAACAACAAATAAAATGAATTATGAAATCTCTGTAAACAAAACTGTTCTTCAAACTAAGTGGCTAGTTGAGACCAAAACGCCAGACTGAAGACTTTTATCATCCAGTTTTTGGTAGAAAGAGAGAAAATCATGCAAATGTAAATTATTAAGCTTGGTTTAAATTATCATGTGATTGATTTATTAGTTGCTGTGACAGGCCTAGTCATATTAAACAGAAATCTGTTCAGAAATGCTCGTCATTAGAGCATTACAGTGAACGGTGGAGGTCAGAGAAAACAGCGGCCCGTTGTTAGCCAATATCCATTAATACTTGAGACCACCTCATAAAACACTTAGACCTGCCAATTTTAATAGCTCAAACACCAATTATACTTTAATTTACTTTAATTTCCAGCAGAAAACATGAAATAAGACAGAGTAGGAGGGGTTGGATCACAGCTGTATAATAACATACACAGAAGCTAGTATGGTATTAACATTATTTTTGCAACTTTGTTTTATTTTCACAAAGCTAGCTTAAGACAATCACACGCTAAGCACTGAATAAAAGCAGGCCTGCATCACATGTCATATCCAAATAACACAAGTAATCAGACAAAGAGGGAGATGATGCTCCCACCAAACAACATATAGAACAGCTGTTTTTTTCTTACCAGAAATAATCCAAGGTCAATATTGGAGAATATTTAGTGCTGTTCAAATATCAGTGCAAACAGTTTCAGGTGCAAAACATGACAGAAACAGTGAAACAGACCCGTCTGAAGATACAACCCCTATTCTACTTTCAGTTTGTGCCGTCAACAGAGCTAACTTCCCAGCATCGCATATCTGAACTGTAATTAAAGAAAAACACTAGAAAGGCTAGCATCCATTTTCATTAGTTCTGTACCATGTAATTATTTTTATTTAATATGTTTTTAGTAGAAAACCTAATAATTATGTTCTTTTAACGCTTTTAAAATCAGCTTTCTTTTACACCTCAGCAGACGCCCCCTGTTTTCAGACAGTTTAAATTGAAAGAGCAGTGCATGTGTTGATACAGAGCAATGCAGGGTTCCAGTTGGTGCTGCATATTATTATAGATTTTTTTTAACTACATGTATGTTTTATTATTATTATTATTATTATTATTATTGTTGTAATTACAGCAGCACCCCGTCTAACTGTTGGTTGGTCTTGGCTCGTCTCACCTGGCTGAGGGTCAGTGTAGTCCACAGTGTAGCCGTCCAGCTGCAGAAGCTCCACCGGCTCGGCCTTCTTCTCTCTGTAGCTGCACATCGCAAAGGTGTACTGGCTCACCTGCACCAGTTAAACACACAGAGGACATGGTCTCTTAGCAGTCAGCCTGATTCACAGGCCAGAACACCATTATGCTATATAATTACCCAATCACATATAACAATAGTGAAAGCAAAGGACAAACAAGACAGAATATTCACAAATATTTATTTCATTTTTTTAAAACGATGATTGTAACATACTCATGTTAAATCTTACTGGTAAGATGCAAAGTCTTACGTATTTTTTCTCTGGTTTCTAATACAAATATCTCAGAACACTTGAAATAAGACAAAACTAACTTACAAGTAACTTTTCAACAAGATATCAGAGCTTGTTTTAACTCAATAGCTCCTTAATATTGATGAAAAAAATACTGGTTCCACTGGCAGATTATTTCACTTATAACAAGACATTTTCCCCCATTATAACCTTGGATCTATGATTTTATTGAAGTGACAAATTCTAAGTATTTCTAAATCTGCCTTACAGTGTGATCTATTATTATGGTATTATTTTACCACACAGCCCCACGTTTGTTTTTAGGGTATCATCTTGCACGGTACTGTATGAATGACACAGATATGAAAACATGTGTTTCTTGCAGTGTTAGAAATAATACACGTGTGAATGTGTTCCTACAGGGTGTGGCGGTGGCGTTAACAGGTTGGCACTTGTGTATGAGGTTATTACAGATTTTTTTTTTTTTTTACTTTTTTTTATTTTAAATTAGGAATTGCCTGAAGTCTGAGGTGACAGATACGGGGTAAGGCATACCATGTAATAGTGTTAATGAAAGCTTTGGAGGTTTGGAAGCAAAGATCAGCAGCCCGAGCCTTTTTATTTATTTTTAATGAAAGCGATGAAAACTTTACAAAGCTGGTTTTACCAACTAAATAAGTTAACTTACCAGCCTACTAAACGTAGATGTGTAGAAATAGTTAGCTCCTTTAAATCCACCCCTCCATGCAGAGCAGACATGCATTTTATATAAAGATAAATACTACAAAACAAGTTGAAATATTAAAACACAATGTTATTACTTATTTAAAATGGAGAATTAGTATTTCTGGTGACTTCTACATAGAAAGAAAAGAAACAGTGAAGATGTAACACATGTTAAGAAGTGATTTTTTTTTTCTACCAAGTTGTTTTGTAGAGTCTACAAAGACTAACGTAAAACTCAATCCATCTTTAAATTACCACATGGAGCCACAAAAAGAAACACAATACATTAACAACGACATTAAAATTACCAATGTGGCTCCAGTAATATGAACAATAAAATGACCCAGTAGCACTGAAGGTATGAATTATTTGCTAAAAAAATTTCAGCAAGTGGTCAAGTGTGTGAATTGTAATCCCTGACAGTCACACATGGCCTTCAGAATTTTTTCGTCACATTTTAAAACAACTGTCGATGATGAAAAATATTCCATTTGATGCGACCCCTGCGTTGAACTTTAAGAAACTGAGTCATCTATTGCACCTTAATTATTTAAGGCACAATATTATGTGTTTTTTACATTGTGCCATTTTATAGCACAGTCAAATAATTATGTTAATTTCAATTGTTAAGTAAATACCATATATCAAATATGACTTAAAAGAGAATATATTTCTCAATTTAACACCTTGAAATTGGACCCCTTCATTGCTAATACCTCCTGCTCTTGGTGCAGTGCTCCTTTATTAACCCTTTAACCAAGATTTTACCAGTGTTGCACTGAGAAGCAGCTCCTACAATGAGCTCAGCAGATGTGCAGCTCCACCAGGTGTTTGCTAATTCCTGCTGGCTAGTCTGACGGAGCTGAGTGGTGGAGTCATGGGGAAATGAACTTGGAAACTGCAGCTCCAATAAGGAGCTGAGCCTCGCTGCACCCAGACATTTTGCACAGCTGAATGGTTGCCACGGGAGATTCGAGGAGTTCTCAAACATGGATGGATAAAATCAAGGCAACACTGCAGGTGTGTTTACATAACACTGACCCTTGAAGACATTTTAGTAGCAAAGTTAGTACAGCTTCCACCTTTATTTCCCAGCAGGAAATAAAGAAAATCAGCAGAAAAGCACACAATGTGAGTGCAAACAGAAGCAAATAAAGAAACTAATATCCTGAAACTAATATCATTACAGTATGGGGATGAAGCTAATGTCATTGATTCTTCCAGAATTTGGCTGTGTTCTGGGTTTGTGAGAAGATGTGTGAGGGGTCATTCCCTAGACAAACTATGAACTCCTTCAGAAGAAAAATGTGTTCCTTCGTTGACTTGGAGCTTCTCCTGTAGTCTGCTGCTTGTGTTCAACCTGAAAATTTAAGCCACAACTAAAATATATTTCCTTTAAAATTGCTGAGGACTGAACACAGGGCTGGTCCAAGCATTTTTAGGACCCTATTCAGATTTTTATTTGGGGACCCCCCATACTAACTACAACATCAGATGCTCTGTCATTCCTAAGCTACTCTATGTGTGTAACATACCTGCTATGCATAATTAATAATTGCCTAATGTCATACCAGCAGTATCATGGCAATCGATTTTAACTTTACATGAGTGACAAACTAAAAAAATGTTGAAATGCAAAGTGGTATTTTTGGAGTGCCATATTATTTTAGCTATTTGCAATACCAGCTAATAAACACTACATTTACAGTAAAAGTTAAGTTTGATATATTCTATTTTCCCAACAGCAGGGATTAACCATTATTTGTGTAACAACTACAAAAAGAATATAGAAAATGATTTTCCACCTGTAATTGCATTTAGTTTATAATTTTTTTTTAAATATGCTAGCTTTGTGCCCCAGCCGCTTTACTCACATATGTACGCCTCAAACACAAATTTCAACGACAAACTGATATAAATGGATATAAATCCTTCCCTGAATATCCACTCAGTCCCGTCCTGAGCCCAAACATCCTGGAGGGTTTTTCCTGTAAAAGTCAGTTGTTTCAATCCAAAACCTTTCAACGGTTACGTAGCTAGAGGGATTTCAGCAAAGGGAAAATTTGATACAGTTCACTGGTTTTGTTAAAAAGGAACCCGTTTATGAACTGATATCTGACACTTGAACTGCATTTTAATTGGTTCAAACTAGATACAAGAAAATCACTGCAATCTGTTGGCTGTAAATACAAGGATGATGTTTTTTTTTTTTTTTTTTTTTATTGAATCAGTTGACATTAGTGCAGTTTGCCAGTCACGCCAGACTATCGTCAAGAACCGGCGAGCGTGGCCGGTCGGCTGCTGTTGCCGTGACTACTGCCACGAGTGGCAGCTCTCACTCTTGCTCCTGCCACACTCTGTTTGTGTGTTCGCGTGGTAGCGAGTGTGTGTGCAAAGTTAGGTGGGGGACGGGGTGGCTGGTTATATGTTGGGTTTCCCTTGTGCTGGTGACAACTGAGATTCCCTAAGACAGTACTGATGACACCTAAGGCCATCATGGAAGAAGCTGGACTAACTCTGCAGCAGCTCCTTGGCCTCCAGGACCCCACAGAGGCAAATCTAAACTACTCTGCCACTCCCCCCCCCACTCTCTCATTCCCCCACTACCACCACCCACCCACCCTAAAACACACAATTTCCTGTCAGTCTGCTTTTCCCACTCACACTCGCTCAGCTGTCAGTCAGCTAAAATGAAGATGAAGAATTAGAACATAAGGAGTAGTTCCTCTGATACATTTAAGGGTATTTCAATGTTAACATAATTGTTTTTATGATCTCTTAATGTTTTACTGTAAAGTATAGCATAAAAAGCTTTTCCTCTTTAGCAACATCTAATTTTATTGTGAGAAATTTCAGGCAAAATGTTCCCGTCTTAAACATCACTAACACTGCTATACTTGGGGAGTCTATGAAGGTTCAAAACAATTGAAACCCATAATGATAATTAATTTTCACTCATAAAAAGATGTCAAGCAACAGGTTTATGAACAAAAACAATTGTGTTTACTTCCTGGATCTGAAACTCCAACCCACAATCACTTCAAATAAGGACTTCCATGTATAAGAGCCAAGTCTTCTGACTTAGGGAACATATCACATCATCATCATCATCTCATCTTATGTGTCTGGAAAGAATAGATTGAGATCTTGCACATAAATAAACATATTCCACTACCTTGATGTTTTTTAAGCATGTTGTTCTTTGACCGGTTTTCTCTTTGTTGTGTTTGTTGTTGTAGTTAGAGGAGAATTATAAAGGTTCGACCATGTTGAACAACTTAAAAGTTTGCATTGAACAACAACAGTTGTTTTTGCTGCATTTAAAATGTTTTTAGGCTTTTGTCAAATAACATGGAATATTTATCATAAACCTTTTTTACTGTCTTTTTTTTCTTTTTCTACTGTTACAAAATCAACTTTTGACAAATGCATAGAAGTATTCTAGTACTGCACTAATCTAACAAACCAACCAACATTGCAAACTACCAAGCTCCAAAATACTAAATCAAATGTGAAGAAACATTTTTAGTCGCAGTACAGACAGAGCAAACATCACCAGGGGCTGCGAAGCAAAGAGCTGCTACTAAAATGCAGGAAGTCCCCCACCAACCAAACATTTGAAGAACGTTGGTTGGTCAAGATGTAGGAGAGGAAATGCTGCCCTTAAATACAGTTGACTCCCCTGGTGGTCATTTTTATATTGAGGTGCCCCCCCCTACCTCTCCTGTTTTAAATTCACTATATAACAACATGCAACAACTCCATTTTTTAGCGGGCGGAGAAAGTCTTGGGGTCTTTTCACACCACCATTCTCTGTGATTTGGGGTTGTAGGCTGGGATGAGAAGCAGGTCAGGTGATGGGAGGGCTGGACTGCGGTTGGGCATTGGGTCCAGTGGGTCAGCTGTAGCTGGGCCTGGTGCTTTGATTCTCTGGGGGTCGTTTGGATTTTGAGCATGGTTGGGCACCGGTGGGTCTGTGGTGTGGGATTGGTGGGATATCAGGTGTTTGGTTGGCTACGCCAGCGTTCCTTCACTGCTTCTCCTGCTGCACTGGCCCCCAGCTCAGAGCCACCTGTGGTCACACTCGGGTTCGGTGTATAGAACACCTTGTGACAGTGCTAGTGTAAGCTGCTAGAAGAGCAGTAGAGGCCGTGGGTGCTGTGTGCCTCCCCAGGAGTTCTCCTTTGCTCCCTTCTGTGTGGGGTTGGCAGATGTCCCTGCAGTGATCCTCCAGGGACCCCCGTGCTCCAGGGGACCTCTGTATGTCTGTGACTCCAATTTTCCCAATGCCTTCCTTGGGTCTAGCCTGACATCATCTTCCTGTGCTATTCCATTCAATTCAAATCTCGCTTACAGCACAGTCTAGGCTTTCTCTGATTAACTTGGATTCCTCCAGTACAATTTCAACCAGGCTAATCAGTGACCAGAAGGAGAAACTGTGAACGATGACGTTGATTTTCTGCTGTTTTACTGTAGTTTTAGCAATGCCAGAGGAGGAACTGAACGAAGCCGAAGCCGTTCGGTCATTCAACATTGGTCATTCTTCCAAATATTGAATTAACATTAACAGACGCCTCGTTCAGATCGGCACTTCTCTCTTCACAGAAGAGCCAGCAACTTCTGGTCAGATTCAAATTGTTGAACTGAGGCATTACATACATCACTGATAAATGTTAGCAACTGGGAAAAATGTAAAACTTAAACACAGTCCACGACTCCAGGAAGCAATTGTTTCTCAGCAGCCAAGTCCAAAAGTCCAAACCTTCTGTACAAAGCAAAGCATAGAAAATGAGCTGGTTTTACCAGGATACCTTGAGTCCTAGGGGCCCAGTTTGTGGTTCTTCACACCCATTATAGAATGTTGTCATGGAGAAATATTATAAACACAAGCGTGCTCACACACACGTACACACACAAAGAGTTGTCTGGATTCTAAGGTTTACAGAGACACTTTGTTGGGCAGTGTTCATCACTAAATACATCTTCTATGAATTAGTATCATGTACTAATTCATCACAGGTTCAGTGATGGTGTTGGTATTGTTAAATATACACATATGGTTTCTCAGTTCTCTGTTTTTATCCCTCTCTTTCTGCAGGTGTAGAAGCAGACTTCTACAGTGTTACTTTCTATTCTTTATATCCTTCTTTCTTTTCTCTCTTCTGTTCTTATCTTCTCTTTTTCATTTAAACATTTTCTCCATTTTATTTTTGACCCCTTTTCCGTCTCCTTGTCCATTTCATTTGAAATAAACCCAATGCAATTTCTAATAAAATTTTTTGTAAATATATCACAAGGAACTCTGCAACGAAGGCCGTAATGCTCCACTTGTGAAAGCTAATCAGTTTGGCTTCACCTTGTTTTGTTTAGTTTTTTTACACTGGACATGTAAAAAATAAATAGCATATGCAACAGACAACATCATGAACCTTACTACTGTTAGAAATAGCTAAAAAGAAAAAAAATGTAAGGAAATTACCTGTGATATTTTAACAATGAATATTGCCTTTGTCAGAGTTGAACGTTTTTATAAGGTTAACCCATTTGAATCAAACAAATTGTGCAATCAATAAAGCTCTGGATTTTTGGTGGCCAAAAGAATATCCGCTGAGTCGTTAGCTCTGTAACACAGCAACCCAACAAACACACGCCGGTCTTTGTGTCGCCGTTCAAACTTCATGCACATCGAAAGACAGACATAAAAACAAACACATACACATGAGTGTGCAGTCTATTGACCAGTATTTGTCACTTGCTATATATTTAGCTGCGAGCAAGTGAGAGGCTTCAAGTTGGCGGTGCTCAGGCTTTTGTAGCTCCAAGTGTTAGACCAGCTAGTGTTCACTCGACTTTGTCAATCCCCTGTCAACTTGTAGCTCTGAGACATATCCTTCCTAACGCATAGGAGACAGGCCTACTGCCGCCCACCCCCTTCTCTGCTGCCTGCTGCCCACCTCCCAACGCGGAGCCACCAGGAAATGGCCTCCACCACCTCATCTCCCACACCCTTCCGCCCCCTCTCCTCCCCACAACTATCTCCTGACAAAAGCCTGCTTGACCTCTCCATCATTCATCTGACAACCAAAAGAAGACAGCTTGGCTGCATCTCTCTTTCTCACAGCGCGCCACAACATGTGGTTGGCAAAAATTTCCTTTGCATAAAGCGGCACTCGTGTCAAAGGCATCCCTGTTTCTTTGTTAATTCTTCTTTTTTAAAGACATGTTTAGAGGGCAAATTTTGTTTTTTTACTTCACCTATGAAACGATACAAAAAAAAGAAATCATCACCTATTTTAAATAAACACTTGCTTCCAGTTTTTCTTAATCAAACGTTTTGTCTGCTGTAGCCGATTAAATGGGAGTAATGATCAGACTACAGTGTGGCTGCAATTTAAATTGCGCAAAAACTTCAGTGCTAATTAGTTGGTCGTAACCAGGAAGCAGCAAATTGCCTCAACAGCCCCCGCGACAACAAGCAGAAGAAATCTTCATATGTCGTCAGTTTTTATCAGTATCAAATATCATTTTTATCAGGACCTCGACAGTGTTCATGATTTGGAGATGAAGCTTTCAAAATCTTCTTTCAAATATTTTAAGTACAATAATAATAATACTAATAATAATAATAATAATAATAATATTTTTTGTTTTCATATTTTATTTTCTAAAATAAATAAATATGCCTACCTGTACCAAGACAAAGAATCTCTTCTTCCATCTTTTCCACACATTTTTGCCAATAGCCCAAAGATACCTGTGGGGGAAAAAAGGATGTTATTTTAACAAAGAATGAATTTAACAGAATGCTTCACAGTAATTTTTTTGTGATGCTGTTTTGGCGTTAGTTTATACTGCTATCAACGTTCAACACAGATTCAATGCACCAAGGTGAAAATACTAGTGCAAACACTGACCTCTTCTGGCAGAATACTGCCACTGCAAGGAGATACAGGGCCTCTTACAAACCCAACATTTTTCTAACAGTAGATTGTAAATTTTTTATTACAAAAGATTTGATATATAGTAAAACTACAAGTTAATTTATTATACACCTGCTGCCACCAAACTAGATTAGAGAGGAATAATTATCCTTCAGAAGAAAGTTATTCAAAAACCATGTTAGACTAATCAATATAAGAGATTAAAAGGCAGCAAAAAAAAATCAATACATTCAAAGTAAAATTCTTTAAAAATAGCTATCTAAACTAGAGCAAAGTGAAACAAGAGAACTCAGTGTTTGGGACTAAACTGTGAGAGGTCAGTCGAATGAAATTGCGCTTACGTCCAAAAACAAAGAACATCCACCACCAGCTAAACAGGAAGAAAAAAGATTCCAACAGATTAAATAAATAGATTATGAAACGCCAATCTGCACCAGCCAAGAGGATGATACTTCTGTTCCTGTTTGTTCGATGAAACAAGTAGAAATGACTAAGAAAATAAATCTGTTGGCAGAAAGGCTGGGAAGTTGGTTGAACATGAGCTAGCTAAACATGACAGCCCTGTATCTTTGTGTTCTGGTTCCAAACAGACAACCAGTTTGGAAAATGGCTGTAAATCTTACAAGAATCATAAAAGTGCCCCAAAATAATTACATAACAACTGTAGCAAACATTACATATATAATTCTATCCATGTTGTAAAAACACTGAGCTACAGGTGTTCACTTTTAAATGTACCAACTATCATCCTCGTACCAATCGGTGACCACAAGAGGGAAGCAAACGTCATCTTTTGGAAACATGTAGAAGCTGATGAGCAATTTCAAAAATTGTTTGATTGTTATATCAATGTAAGGTTTTCTATGATTTGTTGAGAAGGGCATTAATAATTTTTAAGAAACACCTTTTTTTCCCCAAAACTGCTCCCACTGTTCATCCTGGGAGAGATGGCTGCTTCATTTCCTATCAGAAACACATTTAATCTAAAATCTGAGTGGTTCCACTCATTTTTTGGGGTTCAAATATAATTTATCAGTTATCTAAATCTGCTTATCGTTGCAGGGTTGCCGGGGGTTACTGTGTGTTGATTCAAGACAATATTCTGTTTACTGTTTTAAACGGTTAAAGAAATACATGTGATAAATTATAGTAATAAATATGACCTTTTAGGTGAATGTCAATAAATTGATATTAATTATCATCCATATGAAAGGTAAATGATTAATCTTTTACTATAACCTTTATTGCAATAAAATGAAGTCTTTGTGATATGAGCTCACAGCTAAATATTTTCAATTATAAGACACAAAAGTGGGGGGAAAATACCCCTGATATATTTTTGTCAATACTGAACACTCCTACCGACTGCTCTTGAATGACATAAATCATCAAAATAAACAGTCTGAACTTATGCAGACATGAGAACTGGTTTCCAAAATCTACTTTTCCAAATGAAAGGGACAGAAAGTCCAGAACTCCAATCACAGAAGAGTTCTTTTTAAGTATTTAGATGGAAATCTGACAGACGCGACAAATGCTTTAAATTGATCGCACCGATGGAGGGCATCAACACAAAGAACCCGACTGCCACTTACCCACAATGCTTCATGTTCTGTGGCTTATCCATGCGGATGGCTAGTTTTATCTTGAGCTCGTCTGGGCAGCCTTTAGACACTGCCATCTTATGGAGCTCACACTGTTTGGGACTGTTGGGAGTCGGGTGAAGCACAACCTGGAAACAGCCACATGCAAACGCTGCGAGTCAGACACACTGTGTGAGAGGAATCAAAAATGAATCCAGTGCTTGAAATGTTCTCCCACCCTTCCGAGCTCCTTATCCTCCAAAGCCAGCACTCCTGTGCTCTCAGTGAACAGCTTCACCTTCACAGCAGGCAGAGGCTGGGTGGTGGTGAAGTCACCTTGGGTTCCCCAACTACGAACAAGAACAGATGTATTAAGTAAAGTCTGTGCGGTAAACGGTGGATCTCAGGGTTAGTGATGCCTACTTACCCCCTAGGCTATTCTCTGCTAATCTATTGTTAATAGTCTGTTCATATGAAGTCCACTGAGCTTCATGTGAAGAAGCTCTGTGGACTTTGAGGATTTTAATCATAATAAACTCCCCCCAATGAATATTTAGTATATGGGCCAGTTTCTTCTGTAAAGTCTGAACTTTTTTTTTTTTTTTTTTTAGGGGTTTGCAACAAACAAATAAATACATGAAATAAATTCTCCTCATTCTGATTCTAACAACCCTTCCTAGAATGGGTCTGTGTTACTCATTCTGTACATTATACTCTGTCTCCTGGTTGTAATCCCACTGTTTTGTCTTAGTTAGATTTTCAACCATGACAGGTAACATCTTACGCGGGACTGTGATGCGGTACTGTTCCCTCATCAAAACTTTTTACTTCCTTGGATGTTTTATCCTTTTTATTGCTCTGACATATCCATCATGACTTTTTAATGCAATCTTAATGAACTAAGTGTCCTTCCAGCTGTGATTGTCGTCTTTCTTTAGTTGTGCTTTGCACATACATTGGTTTGGAGGCCTCAGCTTGGTCCGTCTGCAGCTTGTGTCCTCCTTCCACCTCCATGGTGCAGTAAACTATTCTGTTTGAAGCCAAGGACTTCAGACCCTGAACCTCCATTATCACCACCTGGAAAATAATGTTAATCATCCAAAGAGATGAAATAGTATTAAACCACGTAACAAAACACAAGTTATAGAGACTTCACTACTTTATTACTTATAAGTTTCTCATGCATCCTTTGTTCCATTTTGGTGAATGCATATATACTTGCACTGCGCTCAACAAGTACTTAGTAATGTAAGGATTTCTAAAACTTTTTTTTCTGGAAATAGTTGATTTAATCTGCAAGAAGCTGACTGCTCAGGTTGATGTAAATAACTCGATTAGTGGCACCTGCAGCTTCTGTGGGGGGATCGTTTTAAAAGCTGGAAGCTTTGAAGAACAAATTAAGAAGTCTGTGTGGAGAAGAACGACTCGCTTGCCGTAGAGGAAAAAAACCGTTCAGGTCAAGCATAGTGAGGTCATCACAATCTCTAAAGACACGGCACCAAGGAGGATGCTCCTCTACAGCAGGAGGAAGGGAATGATAAAGCTCACTTAAGACTTTAAGCAAAAAAAAAAAAAAAAAAAACACAGTCTAGTTCAAGTCTCTCGTCTCTGAACTTGTCTATTTTTTTCCCCAAGTTTGTGTAATTCAAAATTATTTCAAAATTACTAAGCATTTCAGTGCTTAGTTGTGAAGTGTATTCTGCTGCAGGTGCTTTACCTCCAGAGTGAATGAGAGGACCACGTCTGACTTGGACAGCAGATTTTCATCCTCCTGACCCATGTCCATAATGGAGGTGTTGTGTCCTCGTTTCAGCTTCTGCAGCTTGAACTCGCCGCCCTTGGAGACCGGCATGCTCTCCAGGTTTGCCATCAGCAGGTTGACAGACGAGCGCAGCTCCTCGATGTACATGGCCTCCATCTCTCTGGAAACGAATCTTGGAAACCTTCCTCCAAGCTTAGCAAAATAGGAGATTGTGAATTTAACACTGTGACACGATGTAAAAATAAAAACAAAGTGAATCTGACATAATATTTCCCCTTTAAAAACATCTCCGTAAAATATTTTGATTTTTTTTTTTTTTTACACAAAGGACATCAAATTAATGTCTTTGAGTAACAATAAAGCAAATTAGCTTATTTTGTTAAGTGTTTATACTGCTACAATATGTAACAGGAGAAAGTCTTCTCAAATGCAAATCACGTTTAAGCATACAAATGGATTCCAATAACTTTATCATACATGTAAAACCAAGGAACTTATCATTTTACAGGTTAATCTTCCTTCATAACTCTCATCCATCTTTTCCTTTTACCCGAGCGATCTGATCTGCCATCTGCAGCCGTCCATCCAGTTCCCTTCTGATCTGAGCCGCCTGCTCATCAGGATTGTCCAGCTGGGAAAACACAGACATGCAGCAGTTTGCTTAGACATCCACTAAAAATCACATTCAGATCCATGAATAAAAAAAAAAACTAACAAAAACAAAAAACACAATTTTAATCATACTGTACTAAAAGTAAATTACACTCAACAACAGTTATTACCAGGCTACACTGAAAATAATCTAAAAAAAAAAAAACATGTATTACTTCCTCCATTAACCAACTAAAGGGATACACTAGCCTTTGGATACAGTTGCCATGGTAACAAGTGTGGGGAGCAGGTACAGCAGTTTTCAAGTTGTGAATCTCTTAGTTGTGCACGTGCACGTAGCTTCCACAAGAAGCTATGTTTCAGACATGACTCGATGCACTAGAATCATTAGAAACCAAACATTTTCCTTTCCCGTACGGCCACATGCGCACAGCTGAATGGAAGCAGAGACTGACTTCAAACTGTTCAAGGTCTCTGTTTGACCAGGACACCATCTGTTCTTTAATGAAGTACAGTCAGAGCTTATTTGGTCTTTTCATATGTTATCAGAACAAATATGCACATAGTCACAGCAATGGCGACTGCATGTTCTGGACAGTACGTGGTCCGCATCATCGCCTTCACCACCAACAAAGGAAAGCATGAAAAACAGATAAAAGTTTCAGTCGACATCTAAGCAAATGACAGTATCGCATCACTTAGATAAACAGTAATGACAGGAGTGAAGCGTTGACTGAAGGGTGCAGTCTGTAGTTGAATTAGTGAAATCTTACAGCGCTGTAGCTAGCAGTCATGCTATGTTGGGTGGATTTCACTACCAACAAGATTTGATGAAGGGGTTGATCAAAAAGACATGTGGCAATAAATCTACAATAACAGTGGTTGTGGTTGTTGGACTGAATTAAGAAAACTGGTACAAAAAGTTACTTGGAGATTATCCCTTACTGAATGCCACTGCCTTAGTAAGGAGCCTTGAGGCACTCTATTTGAAACAGGAAGGAGGGAGGAACAAGAACCAGAAGCTTTGACACGCTGAGTTCCACCAGATAAACAACTGGAGAACCAGTTCACAGCCTTCATAGATAAACTAATCTATTAAAGTCGATTCATCAAGAAGATATGATATACAGTGTCAGATACTTATGGACATGTGTGATCGTCTTGTCCACCTTAAGAATCACCGAATCTAAACCGTTCAGAGAAAAGGACGGCTGATCCAAACCCGTTTCCTTTTTGTGTGAGAACAAAAGTGGCCCATACGCATGCAGAAAATGCATGCGTTTTCTGTGCACAGACCAATCCGTGTTACATCTGAGCGTAAAAATGTACCATTTACATCCGATGCACGTTTTCACCCCATTTTATTTTCTTATTTTGTGTGTGTGTTGAAACATAAAAAAAAAAACTTATATAAGCAATGCTAAGCCTGGTGGGGGCACAAGTAAAGCCTGGTGGCCCACCAGGCTTATAATACACTGGGGGAAACCCTGATTTTGTATGCCAACATGTGCGTGAAATGTTGCACTGCGACAATTTTTGTGTGTACGCTCGATTCACATGAGGCCCAATAGCAGTGTGTCAGCAACATTCCCAATCAGTTGTGACAAATGCATTGTTTTATGCCATATAAGTGAATGCACTGTACAGCCATGTTGGCGTTGCAACTGATACAGAAGACCAGAGAACACCTAAGTTAACTGTGATTTTAAAGACTGAAATCTCTGCTTCAAAAAGCAGCAGGGTTGGCCATTAGACAGTGCATGCATCTTTCCATAAGCCTAGTCTCCGTAAACAATGATAACAAAGGCTGAGATACAAATTAAATTATAGAACAACACAGTTAACATGCACTGAGAGAACAGCGAGGTTGTTGTTTTCTTTTTGTCAGATGCATTTTGCCATTAGGCCAGTTCAAATCTTCAATAGACTTAAAAGCATTTGTTGAATGCAAAATCAACAAGAGAGAGCAGTCTTGTCAAAAGACAATGGTGACTTCAGTAACCAAGTTAAAAAAGACATTCATATTAACAAAAAAAAACTGCATGCAGTTTTAACATTAAAGTCCGTCGTCGTTAAGCCTTTTAATGTGACTCTGGATAATCATTAATGAAACAGTGAAAACCCTCCAATAACAGCACCAGTTAACAGTGTTGTTTTTAAAGAGATGGGCCCAGTCCAATATTGGTATGGCACCCAATATTAATATTTTATTTGGATAGGATATAAATAAGTTGCCAAAGGCCAATCAAAGGCAAATTGTCACACTCTTAAAATAATGGCCTATGTCAATTTTTGACAAAAGTTCTTTTTTTGCCTACAACATTGCTTGGAAATAAAGAGGTGGTGATTTTTGTTTTCCTTCCCCTGAAAATAACTTTTGGCAAAAAATAACTTAATCCATTATTTTAGGAAGGTGGTGAAATGCTCACAATGATACTGAAACATCATGAAATGCAGAACATCAATCATAACCTCTAGTTTAAAATCTTTATTTCACAAAAGAGACATGAACAAACAAATCATTAGCTGTTGGAGCTCAGATTAGTTTAGGAACATCTAGGTGGTAAACAGGGAACACGTATTTATTCAGTTTTGACCAGGTCTGATGTAAAATCAGAAGTCATTAAGAGCGATCGTGCAAAACAATGGAACAGCAAAACATTCCCTCTGATACAAGCTGCAGTCAATGGAATAGTCTGCGTAGAACAGATCCTGCTGTGCAACGTTGCTCTGTTCGGCGGCAAAGAGGAAACGGGGAAAAGCCAGCGTAGACACCTTAGCAGATTTTCCTCCCTCTGGGGCTCGACTATGAAGACATTCACCATCTGGCGCATTGCACAGAGGCAAGACAGCAGTCACTCCTCTAATGAGAGCAGGGACATGCTGGGGAAGGCCTTGGAGGGGAGGAAGCTTAACTGGCTCTTCTTCAAACACATCCACACCAAATCACATTTGGAAGCTGACAGAGGGACACAAATACCGTCCCCTCGGCTTCTACCTGCCTCAGCTCTCAACACGCTGCAGCCATGGTCAAATATCCACGCTATAGCTGCACAGATTTAGCAGAGTGCATGTCGCCAAAGTACAAAGAGTGACCATAAGCCTTTATGGCAAAGGATTTCTTTTATTGCTTAGTGGAATGATTTCTAAAATCACTTTTTTTGTAGCTTAAAGGATTTAACTTGAACATAATGTACAAGTTAAATCAGATTTGGAGTTGAAACCAGGTCTTACATGTTAGATATTTTTGGTATTATCATTATTACTTTAGTTCATATTCAGTCTAATGTTAATAAAGTGTTTTCTTCCTTATGTGTGTATAAACTGACCTGGAGGTTACGACTGACTGTTTATCTTGATGTGAGGCAGTTAACTCTGTGTTTCCCAGGCCTTAATTCTTATAAACCAGAATACCTCCCAACTGCCTGTGAGCAGTCGTATTTTGTCTCTTGTTTATCCTCCCTCTTTGTTGACAGTTTGACCTAGAGCTGAACTGGGCTCAGATCGTAGATCAGATATCACACCTGGAACTGAGTTGCTGGTTTGTTTAGGTTAGAAGTTTTACGACCTTTGTTGTTCTTCCTGACTGCCCCTTTTTGGTTGTTCTGCTTGACAATAAAACAGGAGCTCACGTGGAAGGAGATCAGAACTTTCTGTGAACGGCTGATGAGGTTGTTGATGGAAAGTTCTCCTTTTGCAAAAGCTTTGTCTATAAAATTCATATACGTTGTCTGTGGTCTTTTTATGTAGGTTCGAGAAAAATACCTATCATTACAAATGGGAGTCTACAAGTAGAGCAGCTAAACTAAGCATTATCAGCTATATGAGCTATTTGAATCTTTAAAAAGCTGTGAGAAAGCATCTCAACATTATATTATGGTCATTTCTTAAGCCCAGAAGAGTTTCAGTCTCTATTTGCGGTAAAAATTCTTCTTTTAAGAAGCCAAACGTTATATATATTGCTTGATATTAATAGGCAGAATCAAGTTCTTGCACCTTAAATGCCAGTCCTTTTTTTTCCCCCATGTGCACTAATGACTGGAAAGCAAACATCTCATTAATGTACTTGGAACTTTATTGTTTCCTATAATTGCTGCAGTTTCCTTCCTGCCAGCCCTCTGGAAATCACCACCCCAGCTTAAACAGGACAGCCAACTCATCATCCACCCTGTTATTTTGTGCTGGGAACCGAAACGGAACGGCCTCAGCGAACAAGATGAGGTGAATTCAGCGGGATGCTTACTTTAACTGAGTCACACTTGCTATTAATATTAAAAAAAATAAGAATTAAAAAAAAGAGGAAAATTGTGTTATCCACATTTGTTTTCCCTCTCATTTGTGTCAATCTATGCAACAGACAGATTTCATCAGGTGCTGATCTTGGCAATTTTTAAGATATCAGTTACAGAAAAAACACGTTCAGGACAGCTGTCAATGTCCCCATGTCTTTACAGCTGCAGTATGTCGCTTTTACATATTCATTGAAATGGTCACTATGTCATGACAGTGTAGTTTGAGACAGATCATTTGTGAAAATAAATCTAGCTCCTGTGCCTTCTAGCAGTGTTCCCAATAATACCTAGAAACAACCAATGAGAGAAAAGGGGCGGGTCATAATACTGTCCATCATACCCATGCGGGCGTTGCTCAGTCCCAATTCCCCCTCCCTCCCAAGCTCTCTGCTTCGCTACAGCGTCTCCCCGTCACCAGAGCCTGTCGTGAATGCTAAAGCTAGTTAGCATGACAACAGATGACGGCAGATAAACAGTTTTCCTCTAACGGTAAGCTGTTTCTCCGCCATTGGCACATCTATCAACGCATTTACAAAGTTGACTGACGGCCTGGCTCTGATTGGTTGTTTTTGGTCGGGAGCGGTGCGTTTCTTCAGACCAGCAACAATACCAGCAGAGACATGACAAACTGCACTGGGAATGCGCAGGCTCATCATAACGCTTGATTGCAGGAGACATAAACATGCAGAAACTTGCTGTCATGACGAATTACTATTAGTTACTTTGTCAACCGCCGTTTTCTCTTTTTTAATGTTTATTACTGCTTGTGTGTATTATGTGAGTGCTGTAATGTGGAATCAAACCATTTCTACCATTAAATGTGCTAATGTTCTTGAGTTGGTGAAATTACATTAGAAATAACTGTAGAACATGACCTAAATATGTGTTGCCTATTTTGAGCCAGTTGAGCTTTTTGAATCATAAAAAACATTGGCTTCGTCAAAACCTTCAACATGCCAGTTACACGTTACGCATTTCAGATGGAAACGGCCAGGAACTGATGTGAAATTTGTTCTATCTCACAAAGCTTAGTTTGTAATTTGATTTGTTATGCAAGTGTAACTGCTGGAAGCCGCAGACATGCAAATCATGCACCACATAACAATGATAAGCTATGCAGGATGAGGCAGCCTCACCTCTCAGCACTGCTTCTTCAGAGGTCGAGCTTCTGAGTTCAGGTAACGTTCAAGGTAAGATTTAAGACTGTCATTCACAAAATTTAAGTTATAAGCCTCTAGATTCATTTTTTAAATTTAATTATTTTCCTGAAGATAAACTTCAGACTTCAATTCTGACCTTTGTAGAATTTGTTAAGGTTAGGTTTGAGTAAAGGGTTGAGTTAGTGGTTTGTGTTTTCTTTTTATTGTATATTTGTAGTATTCTGTTGTTCATTTGCTAATCCTTAGTTCATTTATTCTCATTTGTGTGTTAGTGATACTGACAATGTGTTACTTAGAAACATTAATTAATTTATCTAATATCTACTTAGTAACGCATTACTCTAATATGACCACTTTCTTCGGTAAAGAGTAAATCTAACGCATTACTTTTCCAAACCAGTAATCAGATTCTAGTTACCTATCCGAGTCACTGTGCGCTTCTATTTTTCTCATTTTCTTTTCTTAAAAAGATACACTGGTAATCAAGTAAATCTTTTTACTGCTGCAGTTTGTAACTCACACACCGGCTTCCTTTCACTCTTCATTGCACAAAATAAAAATTAAGAGTTAAAGTCAAGTCTCGAGTCTTTTACTCCAGACTTTTAAATGCAACTCGAGTCAGTGTCTTGAATGTGAGCCACCATGTTTGGCAGGATGTCGTACTTAAGCATGGACTAAGACGAACCTCTTAGAGAACAATAATCTGTGAGGTCAATTTTTTTATGTTGTACTATTTTGGAAAAAAAATAATAAACCTAAAATAAATAGCACTGATTTTATATAATGGCAATTACACCAGTAGTTACTCTTTTTTTTTTCTTTTGGAGAATAGAAATGACAATAATATGGAACAAATATTCCCCCTTTTTCTTTTACACGGACAAGCAGAAAGGATGAGAAACAAACAGGCGTGTTGATGCACTAACCTGACAGGCATTGTAGAGCAGCTGGTGCTCAAACTTCTTGACCCCCAGAATCTGCTGGAACATTTCATACAGTTGGTCCTTGCTGAGGATGAGCTCGGAGGCGGCGCTTGCAGTCATCCTCTGCTGGTGCTTCCGGGGATCTTCTTCCCCTCGGTAGATGGTGTCAAACTTAGCTATCCACGAGCTCAGCACGGTCTCTTTGCTCAGGCCGTCGATCTCGGGCAGACTGCGCACGCGCTTTTCGATGTGCTTCTTAAAAACCTCACGAGAGTCGCTCGCCGAAAAACCACCACTCTGCACCATCCGGGACACACGGTCACTTTTCAGGAAGATCTGAAGTCAAGTAGGAAAAACAAAATATCGCTTCGTTATTATGTTCTTAGCGTCACTGGCTATTGCACGTTAATCCTCTGTCTTAGCCTTAGTTTATCCTTTTCTCCGTCTTTCTACACTGTTACTATCATTTTATGCCTCTCAGTTTCACAATAAGCTAAAACTATACGCTTGAGATTTCAAGTAAGTTCAAGTCTCCCCTCTTTCCCGCCGTCCTCCCGTACTAGTAATTTCCCGTAAATGTCCCGACCGGGATTATAATATAATAATTTTAAAAACATTTCTGTGCCTCTCTAAACTGAATTCTGTCACTGGCCTCGCGAGAATTGCTACCCAGGCTGCTGCAGGTGCCGAGAGCAGGAACAAACACAAGAACTGTCAAAAACTGATCGGTGACATCGGGCGCGTCCCCGCGAGGGAGCGCGCTTTCAGCCTGATTGAATGCCTCGTCGAGTGGTTTTGATTACCTGAATGAAAAAAAAGGGTCTCCTATTAAGCACCCAAGGGCGTAGGAACGAGTCTGTCGTTGGGGGGACGCATATCGGAAACCTGACAGATCAGTAAATAGCTTGAGCAGAAATGTCAAACATTGATGCCATCAACACATCAGTAATGCATTATTCTAATCTGACCCTTGTTTCAGTAACAAGTATTCTAACATGTTACTATTTACAATCCAATAATCAGATTAAAGTTATGCATAATATAATGACTGTCATTCCAGGATGAACATTCACTTTAGAATTTGCCTCACAACTAGCAAGATAAATACTCTGGTAGCACACACAGGTTACCAGATTCTGATATATCTTATTGGTCAAAAGACATTTGATTATTAGTCAAAATTCATTGATATAAATTGACTGGTAATTGAATTGGTTCTGCCTCTTTCTAAAGCCAAAGTAGAAAACAGCTCATAAAATAACTTTAAAAAACTCAATACAGCAATTTGACCAACAAAAATAAAACCTACAAAACAAGTTTTGTTCTTCTTGAACAACTCTCTACATCAGTGCAACAGTTTGATCTACAAAATAAATAAAAATTATACTTTTCACATCTAACAGACCCTTAGCTCCTCACTGTTAACTCAGTCTCACTTTCCAGCCCTGCATTCAGTAACTTACCAAACATGATCCATAAAAAACACTGAGGCAAAAAGACTAAATGTTTTTTTTTTCTTTTTCCCTGTCATTTTCAGCCGCAAACATTTAACTAAAATATCTACAGATATGTGTTTCTGTCTCTGCCTCCCTCTGACTCTCTGCAGCCTGATGTTCCTGCATGGATTTATGTATTTACAACAGACACTTCAGTGTCAGAATGTGAACTAAATATAAAAAGTATGTTTTTATCATACAGAATGAGAATTTAAACAACTTAATTTTCAGATGTATACATTATTATACATCTCAACTCTATTTACTGTGTAGCAAAAATTTTCACTAATTTATTTTTAAACCTCTCCTCAAGCACTTTTCTTATGGTCTCCTAACCATTACCCTTATAGTGTGGAAATAATGAAAAAAAATATTGAAACGTTGAAAGAAATCAACCTGACATCAGTCTTCACCTGTTCTCCTTTCTGGTTTTATTGAAATTAATATATTTATATCTTCAGACTCTGAAACTCCACCTGGCTCTCCTATGTCTTCCCTGACCTGCTCCTCTCATAATAAAATAGTTTAGTTTATTTCACTGCGGTTTCAGTCTCATTCTAAATCATTGTGACTAGACTAGCTAACTTTTAAACAAAGTTAGCAGTAAAATTTTGGACATGTGACTATCCCAGAATTAAAACGGCTTAACCAAAAAGCCGTTCAGAGGGGAGGGGGAGGAGGGAGCAAGCGCTCTGCTGAATGCGCTGTTGTGCGCCTTCAAAATAAAAGCATGCGAGTGGAAGATTTTAAAATTCTTCGCAACTGCGGTGAATTTATTGGGGGGGACGAATGTGACTCTCTCCAATATTGGGGGGGACATGTCCAACCTCCCTCCTCCCCGCTTCCTATGTCTATGTAAGCACCTCTTGATATCCACTTATTAAATGGGTAAATGGGAAATATAATAAACAGATCAGCCCTACATTGCATTAAAGATAAATCCAGAGCAGAAAGGGCTGAGATTTTCATATGTTGATGTTAGAAGCATTTTTAGCTGCTTTCTTTGCTACAAATGATCAATCGTTCATTAAAGGAATGCTGTTATTGCATTTTATTCAATAAATTGTCTGTTTTCCTGTCTAAAAGGTTGTTTTTTTTTTAACTGAATAATTGATTTATTGAATGATCGACTAGTAAAACCACAGTTAGTTGCAGCCCTAAAGACTACGCATAATTGGATTTGAATCTAAGTTGAACATCTTTGGACAAAGTTGCATTTATGTCAAATGAAATGGGCTGGATTGCAAACAGTTTGAAATCAATATAATTTCTTTACTTTTTTTTGTAACGTGCCCTAAGAAAATTGAGATCTATGCAAGTTTCCAGAACACATCCTTCTTTTGTAGAGCGTATTTCCATTCTAGAAAAATTTTAAAAGCAGCAAATAAAAACTTACACCTGGCCTGAACTGTGCACCCTGGAGGGACGGGGTGGTGTTTGTGTGTTTCTGTGTTCATATCTGTGCAGCTTACAAATGTGGTATCCAATCTCAAACATAACCATGTTAAATTTGAGGGATGAGAACGCCAGCTTTGCTGTAAAACTCACCTCATAGTAGCTCTGAACAGCGTTGATGAAAGCCTCATCAGCCACAATCTGAGTGTCTCCACTGAGGAATGCCTGAAAGCGATCTTTGACAGTCTGAAGCTGCAGCTTGCTGATCTGAGGGACGCAGAAAGCATTTTACGTTTCAAAAATAACAAAACAAATCATGACCCAAAAAATAGGAATTAAATGAACGAACATACACCCAATTTAACCTTTCCACTGTTCTGTCCAGAAACATTAAGGCTTCTCAACGAATGTGAAAGCCCAAACAAACCCAAACCTTTCTGCCATTTCACCTCTTTGGCGGTCTGAGGTGTCTTTCTTCAGGGGTACAGAGGTCACAAAAAGTCAAACGTCTATCCATTTGCTGAATGATCATCACAAGGACAGTTCATTGAATCATGAAATCTTATTTCATGATGCTACATTCTGTTCTGCTAATCTTGTTGTGAGGTGAAGATGTTTCCAGGGAGTACTTTACCATGAACATGATTCCACACAAACTGGACGGTATAGTATGAAGTTCTCATATTTGCAAGCATCGTATTACTTCTACATCAAAAACATGAGTTACTTTACATGAGTTGGCCAGGGTTAAGCTCAGTCAGAGGCCCAGTCAGAGAACAGTTTTCTCCTACAGCTTTGTGTTGCTGTCTCTGTGGAGGTTTCTAAAAGAAAAGCAAATTTTTGTCATTATTTTACTGCTTCGTATGCTTGTTTTATTCTTTGTATGATTTAGGGTTGATTTGTTGGATTCGAGAAAAGACTGATCTAATAATAAAAAAAAAAAAAAGAAACTAAGGAATACAGACCAAACAAACTTCAGAACATCTCGGGATTCTAACAGATGTCATCAACACCGAGTAGAGCTTCAGATCTAGAGATCTAGATAGAGTTCACTCATCTAACAGTGACAGAGATGGGATTAAACCAGAAATCTTTTAAATCTGCCTGACTCTTAATTCCTCTGCTCACCAGGTTCAGCCATGCTTTTTAAAGTCAGATATGAAGAGCATATCTGCTCATTTTTTATTTTATTATTATTACTATTTTTTTGTAAACAGAAGGAAACCTGTGATTTGAAATGGTTCACTATGTACTTTCAGAAAAAGACAAAACAATGTTCACTTTGTTCAGAGACATTTAATATGTTTGGTCTAAAAGTGAAATATTAATTGATCTCCAGCCTATAGTGCCTTGTGCTTCAAGATTTATCTGATGTGTCATTGCAACGTTTCTGGATCACATTAAAGAAACTTTGTATCCATCTTAATTGTCTGTAAAATTATTGTGTTCCAGATTTTTTTAAAAGCTACATTTTCAACCCTAATGATATTCAGGCACAAAACTCTGAAAAAGGAACTCTGTCGTATGTCAAACCAGCAGATGCATTTTTAATAGTCGTACGTTAAATTACTCTTCGTTTCTCACTCAGCAGCAGAATCACAGGATAAAGTCGACATCACAAAAAGTTACATCAGAGGTGATCGAGGTTTTTCAAAACGCCTCTCTCGATGAAAGCTTCATGACGCTGCAAAGACGGACGTTTCTTACAAATTAGAGTCTGAATAGGTTCAATTGGCACATCGACTCACCCCAGCCGTGATTGCATATCGCTCGCTCTCACTGCATTGTGTGAGTGAATATGTGTAAGAATCAGCACTCATGAAAACCATACGGCGCCCGTTCATGTGTGCTGCGAGTGTGTGTGTGTGTGTCGCTGTGTGGGAGTGTGTTTGCATACGAACGCAATAGGCCAACTAAGAAGGCTTTCATCATTATTAGCAACAGACATGCTGTTCTCATGAATTATGCACGTACTATTGAACTGCTGCTTGCAACAAGTGCAAACAAGGACCAGCATCCCCCTAACACACACACACGCATACACACACACACGCACGCACACACACATATGCACCCACACACATGCATACACACATATGCACAACATTATGATCACTGGCAGGTTAAGTGACTAACTGTATTCATGTTTTGATGAAAAACTCAAATGCTGCTTTAAATGAAGGTTAGCTTCAGATTTGTAATTTAACGTTTACACACGGCAGCACCTGCCTCCGGTTCAGCCTGTTCATCCTCTACAATAATCATTTGAAATTCTGTCTGGCCTCATTGAAATAATGGCTTAATATTCAGAATTTGCCCTCTAAACCTGCTGAGTTCATAACGCCCACATCACATAGTTCTCTCATTCATCCGTCATAGACAGTTTGAAATAAAGTTTTAAAATCTATTTGTATGTCATGAACCCCTTGGCAGAATTAGATTTAATATGATTTTCTTCCTAAAAAGAAGTTTGAGTCTCAGTGAGAGTGAGACAGATCACTTCCAACAGAAAATTAAGCAATCAAACACTCTTTAGAATAGCTGGCAAACATTTTGTATTAGCGATAATCAACAAAAAATGTCTACTGTAATGAGAATTCTGACTTATTACCACAACAATAAATTTTAAGAGAAGATTTTTGCAAACATACACTAAAATTCCCAATTATACCCTGGTGCCTCCATCCCCCTACCAAACAAAAATATATATATATGTATATATATTTATGTATGCATATTAAATAAAAAAAAACATGAAATGGCATATCATCACTTATCACAATAACAGAATAATGTAGCCAGGGTCTGGAAATGGGCCTTTCAACAAATTAAGTTTTTTATCATTAAAAATGGTATTTATTGCCACTGCAGTTGTACCTTCTATCAGAAAAACCATATTGGGCACAATGTAAAAATGTATTTTTTGTGTTAATTTATCTTTAAATGGTACAAAGGTTTTGATGCTCCACTTATCACGAAGCTTTAACTTTTATGTCCCACATCAAGAGTAAATGGGGTTTGTACTTCTACTCTGAAGAGGAACCAGAGGAAGTTATAGGTGGTATTGTAATGTTCTAAAAAAAAAGAAAAAAGAAAAAAAAGAAACAGTTTACGTTTGCTGATATTGTGAATAAAGGCCTTATGTTTGATCTCGAAGCCTGTTAAAAGCTTTCATTTTGAAATCCCACATTGGATTTGATTGAAGCTCTTTGATTGGTATCCAGAGGCCGTCTGCTCTCAATCTGAAGAGGAACTGACCCGGAATATCAGTTTCTGTGTGTATATACGGAGACATGAGGTAAATATAATAATTTACCATAATATTTTTAGGTGCATATCTAATGGTTTATTTTGGGGAGGGAAAGCGAAGTAAACAGGTTTTTAATTCGATATATTTACATAAGTGTTTATGTAACCTTTCAAATAAAATAACCACGTTTATTAATACAAAATAAATAGCACTGATGTAAACAGTGGCATAGAAAACACTGAGTAATTATGCTGAGATTAGCATAAACTTTCACTCATATGTAGCAGAAATCTAAGAATTGAATGTTTCCAATCTCTGAGGTCCATTTCTTTCCATACAAAAATCAAACTACTCAAGTAAGAGTAGCAATAGTCAACAATATTATTCAAGTAAAGTAAAAAATACTTGCAGTAAAACTACTCCAATCAATCAATGTCTTTCCAAAACAGATTGTTTTACAGATATTGCACTTAGTTTGGGTGAAGCTTTAGAAAACGGTTTGCAGAAACGCCTCACTTACAGGGAGAAAACAGTCCCGAAAGTCTGAGCATTGTGCAGCCTGAGGCTGGCATTATGCGGTTAATGTTTTATGGCTTATGCTGGAATTTACAAGTGAAATATTGGCTCTTAGTCACGAACAAAGGCTAATAAAAAATAACTAACACTTTTTCAGTTCAGTTGAAGTGTCTGTATTAATGAAGTGTGTCTGTGAGCTGTCTTACCCAGCTGCACAATGTGCTCTGATTACACAAAGCATTGACACCTTGCTCGCTGCTTCAGCGCACCGTGAAAGTCATTTCCTAATGTGACACCAATTAACAGACTGGTCTTTTGCGGCTGAATCAGAGATCAGCAAACAACTACAAAATAAACATCTGACAGTATACGTCAGATTCTTCTTCTTTAAGCTGTGAACCTATTGACTACGTGTGCCTAGAGGAATAGCTGATTCAGCATAGGTCCCTGAAAAACTGATCTATTTCTGCAGCCCGCTGCAAAATGTAATGCTCGATGTAATGTAGTAGGGTTGTCTCTGGACGCCTCCTCCTTGTCATTCAATATGGAAATTTTGGTTTAAGCTCAGGCGGTCGTGCTTACCATCCTCAACTTTATCACCATAGCAATCCAAAGTGTGAAAATGTGAAATTTTCAGCACTCCAAATGCATTAAATTCTGCGATCCTGCCTGGCCAAATAGCTATTAGTTTTCTCTAGCAACCACACACGATTGGCTATTTTGCCTCACCTCCGGATGCTGCTGACTAGAAATTATGTGAAATCTGTCCAGAGAAATTCACTGTTACTTCAGATTTCCTGTAGAGACATATCAATGACAAAATGAATACAAAAAATTCATCTTTGTATTCATATTCTGCTCACTTTTTCCCTTTGTTTTCATCAGCCATTTCCTGAGTTGCCAACAGGAGCCAGTGCTCTTTAATAACTGGTCCTGTTCCCTACAATGGTCCTGATACCGAAGAGATGATGCTGAAAGTCTTGTTTTAACTTCACAGTTTTCCTTTACCAATGACTTAAAAATCAAGATGATGCACTTCTACCTTCAGTTGTGTTGAGGTGGGATTGGTTTTCATCTACAGTCTTTAGGTCTGGAGCCACAAGTGGCTGAATGGCTCAATCAGTAATTTAAACAATGAAATATTACTCTGTTTTTATGTTTTATTCTTTTGCTGCTGAATGCTAGTAGGGCTTTGACCACAGTTCCACCTAGACTCTGGAACTTTCCCACCAAGCTTCAAATTTGTAGATGAGTTGAGTCATTTAATGAGAAACTATTTTTTTAAACATTACTTTTGAGTTTTCTTTTGTTCCAAAGCACTTTGTGACATTTACCTTTTAATGGTACTAGTTGTATATTTTGGTGTTTGAACTTTTGAAGCCTCCAACAGTCCATCTGAATATTGAAACATTTTGGGCCCAGAATGTCTTGGTGTGGAAAAGAACACTCTCTTGTCCATATCAGTAATAGGTAGAGGAAATGCTGCTGCTACAAGTACACACGGTTTATGAATAGAGTGCATAGTAAAAATAAATAAATAAATAAGTAATGAATGCAAATCCTCTGTCTCCCTTACTTTCTCTCTCCCTTTATTGCTGCTGCTTGTCCTTTTTGTTTTTCAGTCAGGTCTTTCCCTTTAATAGCAAGACTTGCTCCTGGATACAATTTAGCTTTAAAAAAAAGGCATGCCTTGTATTGTTTGTATTCTATCAGCAAAAAAATAATCAATAAAGCTCCTGATTTTTATCGGTTGAGTTACAACTGAGGAGTATTAAAGGATTCATTAGTGACTGGAACATTTTTCTAACGGAAGTAGATTTTTTTTCCCCTTCCCTCCTTCCTTTGATGTAAAACGCAACATGGTGCGCCTCAGGAAGCAACAGTTGGTGTCATGTGATGTCTGTGTTACAGCTTCCATCTAAATCACACAACTAGAGAAGCTTTATTCTCTCTTCTCTTGCCCGTCTTACCTTTTGCTGCCTCCTGGCCATGTCGGTGGGTTGCTTTGCGTTGAACGGATAAGCAATGCAGCGCATCACAAACACATACAGCTGGAGCCGCTTTTTCTTCTCCTCCTCCTCTCTCTGCATCTTCTCCAGGTCCTCCTTTTCCTTGTCGCTGCCCACCGAAGGGCTGGGGCTGGAGGGTCGGCCACCGGCGCTGCCGCGGCCCCGTGGCTGAAGCCCTCCGCCGCCATGATCGTCGGCGGATCGGCCCGGTGGCCGTCGGGCTCCTCCGAGGCTCTTCGAGGCGGTCACCTCTTTGTGCTCCACCTCGACCACCTCGTCCCCTTCTTCCTCACTGGAAGACGGATCCAACATGCTGCTGGAGTCTAAAATAAAACTACTGTTAGGCTAAACAAAACTGCATTAATTGGAGCCACAGAGGGAAAGAGGCACAAACGGTGCCTGATTAACGCCACAGGCTGCTGGTGGGGGGAAATCTGCAGCCGATCTCAGCTAGAAAAAAGGAGAAGAAAAAAACCCGGAAACACTGTTGGGTCTTCTTGGTTGCGTGATGTTCAAATCCTTGTAACTCCAGCAGTGTGTGACAGATAAGAAGGATTTATCAGGAGAGCACATTTAAAAGGGGAGGGGTCGCAGATGGAGGAAGCGCTGATGTGTTGATGCTCCGCTGCCTGCAGGAGGAAGAGGCAGGGCTCGGAGCTGACCGCGGTGCTGAAAAACCCGCCTGTTCTGGGATCAGTTCGGCCAGTCAGCCAGCGACCACCTGATGATCCAGCTCAGTCAAAAGAAGGACCGGTTTTAGACAGCAGCAGCAGACCGGAATCGAAACCGATTTATTTTCGCAGTAAAAGCTTTCTGCTTCGTTTCAACGGAATAATGTTTTATACTTAAAGCTTATGGAAACACTTAATTGCATACGGCAAGTAGCAAATGTAACCTTAACACACAAAAAGTTGCATATAACTGTATGTCATTCTTATGGGTTCGGGGAATGTTTAAGAACTGGGACAATTTTTGTTTTGTTTTGTTTTATGTAAAGTCAACAACTCTGGTCCTCAAGGCACATTTACCTGCATGCTTTACATGTTTCCCATTCGGATGTTTGCAGTTCGGCAGAAGTCTGTTCATCAGTCATCAATTGAAATCATGTGTGCTGAAGCAGGGAAACGTCTAAAACATGCAGGGCAGTGCGCCTTGAGGTCCCGGGTTGAAAAACACCGTCTTGGAAATCACTTGACAAAACCCGAAACATTTCAGTGAGATTAACGTGATGTGTTGAACACAGAGATGGCAAATGAATTTGAAGGTTTAATGGAGAGAGAAAAAAAAAACTTACAAAGATCACAGGTAGTGAGGGCAGGAAAAATAAATAAATAGAAATCCAAGTGAAAGAAACCAACAGGAAGAAACTTTAAAAAAAAAAAAAAAAAAAATCCCCCTGTGAACAAAGGGGGGGAGAGGGGGGAAGAGCACAGAAGATGAC